TTTTTTCAGGTATTTTATTGACAATTTGTACTTCTTCAGAGAAGTGTATGTTCATTTCACTTGCCTATTTTTTTTCAGATATTAGTACTCTGAAGAGTAGACAGAAAACATTTTCCCATTCTGTAGGTTATTTCTTCACTCTGTTGTTTGCTTCCATGTCTATAGAGTTTTTGAGTTTTATATAATTCTTTGTGGTGTCATCCCCCCTTATTTTCTACCCAAAACTCCAGGAACAGCATTGAGAAAACTAATTTTTCATGTCTCTATATTCAGACCAAGGAATGTCTGTCTTATTCATGTTTCGTTGTTTATATTTTAATCTATGATGCAGGCATATATATGGCTGCTGTACAGAGAGTAACATGAAAAGATTATTCCTGAGCAACAGAACCATGATTTGCAATAGTGAATTTTATCTCATCCTAGGTTTATGCTTTTAACCAAAACTTCTTTCCTTAAATGCAGATCTAAAGAGAACTGTTTCAGTTTGCTAAAGAATCTATATCTAAGTTGGCCCCCACAACCCCAGCTTCAAAGTCATGATATGCTATCTCAGCCTCTTCTGATATTGGGACTAAAGGAATGCACCATCCCATTTGGCTTAACCTTTATACATTGAGAAAAGGACAAACACTGATGTGCAGTGGTTTGTATTAAAATAATTTTAATCCTGAGGAGTAAACCCAAGAGTCCCAAATCACTGAGCTACATCTGCAGAACTTCAACATATAATTCGAGACATGATCTCATTAAGTTAAATAGGCTGGCCTCAATCTTGTTTTCTTCTCATCTCTGCCTCCTGAGTTGCTGGAATTGCAAACATACATCACCAGGCCCAGCATGATTTTTTTCATGGGAAAGTAAATGTGCTCAGGATAAAACATCTGGTAATTTCAATATTCTATCACAAGCTGGAATAACAACACACACTACATATCTTCCTGGTGATGTTAAGAAGCAGAAATCTGCTGCAGGGAAGTTGGGCATGAGTTACAGGGTGTAAAAATTGACACAGTACTCTGCAGTGTATTCTATTTCATGAATTATATCAAATATTTCAGAAATAATATTACATGACTGCTAATTTATGTTTCTAAACATAATTAAGACTATAGAAAGTGATAATGTTCACTGCATTATGGGTATTTAAAAATGAATTGTTCACTTATGTTTTCATGATACCACAAGTTTCCAACAATGTAACCCCATCAGAAATTGAGCAGATTTTGTATTTGAAAAGACTGTATAAAACACTCTACAAAATATTTCAATGTTAAAGATATTTTAAAATACAGGTCAAAGGCGACCAACTGGGACTCACGCACACACCTTGGGCCAGTCTATGTATTTGAAGGCATTTGTCACATACATCAAACATCAGACAGTGGTCCTTGTGAATAATGAAAAATGGCATTGTATAAATTTATCTCTAAAGCTAGTAGAATATAATTTTGTAAATTCTACTTTTTACAACACTGAATGATACCTTTCATGAGTTAGGTTTTGCTTCATGCCATTATTTCAGCATATTAGGTAAAAACAATAATGATGGCTAGGCATGGTGGTGCAGTCCCACACTTAGGAGGGCGAGGCAGGAGGGTCACCATGAATTTGAGGCTAGCCTGAACTACAGAGACCTTGTCTCAGAAAATACAATGATTAGCAAAGATAGAATGGCATCAGAGCATCAGGGGATAAAGGCATTTGCCTCATTACATTCAGTAACAATCATTCTCCCCAAAACAACTCCACTGCTGACAAAAATTCCTTCAGAAGTATTGTCACTGATAAACCATACCATCATTTATAATTTTGGAGAGATTACTATAATTCATGACATCCTTTTGGAGACAAGTTATGTTTTTGCTGGTCTGAAGCAATCAGAAACTCACAGAAGTTTGGGTTGGTTATTTTTTGCTACATATGGTGGAAAAATTATCACTAAATTAGGTTATTGCAATATAAACAAGAAAAGTACAATTTTGATGCTAAGAAAACAAAATTTTATGTAAATGATATTGGCCCTAATATGAAAGAAAAATAGGCAAAATTTTGTACATGATATAATACACAATGTTGGTATCTTGTCACAATATGAGAAACATAATGTGCTCATCTACAAGTTGTATGAAAATAAATCAACTTTGTCAAAAACACATTCACAAGTCTCTGAAAATACATATCTTAATACAAAATATGGCATCAAATTCAAAAATATCTTTTGTTATACAGAATACAGAGTATACACACCAAAAATTTAAAGCAAAGGTAGTGGCAAAATCCTAACAATTAACAAAAAGCAATGAACAAAATTAAATTTTTTAGTGGTCTATACCTCTTAGGTATATATTTTGTTTAGTAAAGACTAAACAAAAACTACATAAATACTAACTCTACTTGAAAGTAAAAAATGTATTTCAATTCACCATGCTTAAGAGACTATGTATTAAGCTCAAAGACATACAAAACACCTAAATTAATTATGTCAACTCAATATTTTTATATTAAACACTGTAAAATCATAATCCAGGTATTTAAATGATTTATTGAAAAATATAATGTATGTACTTTAGCTTATCTCTACCTGGGATTGTATTTCCTGGAAATTTTATGGAGAAATATTGACATCAAGCTTTTTGTATTAATTATTCCTACAGGTCTCCACTACATGAGAAATTTTCACAGGATTTTCAAAATAGGCTTACATATATAAAGTTTCTCCCCAGTGAGACTTTCATGACAATACGTGTGTACTGAAAGCGTTCCCACATTGCTTACATACATATGGTTTCTCCCCATATGTATGTAACATATTTTGAGTTCTTTTATGTCTTTGGAAAACACCTGGAATGCTGAAAGCTTTTCCACATTGCTTACACTTATAGAATTAATGCCGAGTATGAGTTCTTTCATGTTTTTTACAACCACTAGCTGTGTTAAAAGCTTTTCCACATTGTTTACATATATAGGGTTTCTCCCCAGTGTGAATTCTTTCATGTCTTTGACATTTACTTGGCGTGAGGAAAGCCTTCCCACACTGCTTACATACATAGGGTTTCTCTTGACTATGAGTACTTTCATGTCTTTGACAATCATCATGTGTGCTGAAAGCTTTCCCACATTGCATACATACATAGGGCTTCTCCCCTGTGTGAATTCTTTCATGTGTTTTACAATAACCTCGTTTAGTAAAAGCTTTCCCACATTGCTTACATACATAAGGTTTCTCCCCTGTGTGAATTCTTTCATGT